TAGCAGCAATTTTTAAATTGCTTGATTTGCTCTGCAGCCCTGTCATAAAAAGTTTTACTCTTTCTGATCTCTCTTCTTCAAATTCACCTTTCACTGATTTCATGTCATCTTTAAAGTACTTCTTTTTTGTTTGTTTGTTTTCTTCTCAAGATAGGGTCTCACTCTGTGGACCAGGCTGGAGTGCAGTGATGTGATCATGGCTCACTGCAACCTTGACCTCCTGGGCTCAAGGAATCCACCCACCTCAGCCTCCCTAGTAGCTGGGACCACAGGTATGATCACCATGGCCAACTTTTTTTTTTTTTTTTTGGTACAGACTGGGTCTCTTTATGTTGCTCATGCTGGTCTCAAATTCATAGGCTTAAGCAATCCTCTCACCTCAGCCTCCCAAAGTACTGGGATGACAGGCATGAACCACCACGCCTCGCTGATGTACTTGTAGGCTTCCTCTGCAAAGCTGGTTTCCTGCAAGTGATGGTTCATGACAATATCAACACCAGTGATGACTGTGCTTTGGGTACCTTTGCCCTGCGGGCCTTCAGAGAAGGCATTTCCACCAATGAGCTGTTCCTCTCTGTCCTGTTGTTTATCTTCCCCTCCACCATCAGGCACAGTCTATCCACGATCTCCCAGATCTCATCAACGTCAGAGGGCTTCTCATTGTGTCTGACGAGGTCCACTGAAGGAGTGGTGCTGGGAGTCAAGGATGAGAGGGGAGCAGTAGGAAAAGCAGGAAGCTTTTACACTGGTTCAGGCAAGAGAAGATAAAGTGAGGCTACATTGATAGAAAGATGGAGTCTCAATACGTTTAGAAGGGAGAGAATTGACAGGACCTAGTAGCCAGTTCAAAGAGGGCGGTGAGAAAGATTCCGAAGTCCAGGACAACTGGGGAAGCTTGGCAACTGGCCAAAGAGAAAATGAGAGGAAGCAGAAGGCTGGGTGGGTCCATCCTGGATCTGTGGAGTGGCTTCCAGGGAAGGCATGCCATTGTCCTCCTGACCCAGGGAGACAGTGATGGAAGGGAGGACGACTTGCACATGAACGTTCTTCACCAGGTGGCTCCCGGTCCAGTGTTTCGGTGACTTATGAAATCCAGAGATGATGCTGGTAAGCGAGGCAGTAAAACTGTGTACTACACGTCTTAACCACCGCTATTTCACAATGCTTCCCAGCCATCCTCACAGTGCTTCTAAGGGATAGGTATTATAATCTCTATTTTGCCAGAGGAAATTAGGGTTCAGAGAAGTCAAGTGACTTTCCAAGGAGTCTCATAGCGTTTTCCAGAGAGAGGTTTTAAACCTGGAGGTCCCATGTCTCACTACACCACCCTGCCTCTTGGGCACAACCAGGCATGGCTGTGCCGCTGCTGAGCACTCCCAGACAGAGGGTGTAAATTAAAATGGTCATTGTTGGTGAGCTTGTTTTTGTTTCAAAGTAAAGAAATATAAGATTAGGTAAAAATGGGTTGCAGGAGAATACAGCTTGGGTGTATCAAGTATTACCAGGGCCTGAGCACATGACCACCCTTACTCTAAGGAATTTGTTTTCAACCTAGAGAAAAGAATTCAGTTTTGCTGGAACTTGGCGAAAGCCCTGGAGCAGGAAGTACTGTCATGAGCAATGCCGGCCTTCCTGTTGTCTAACAGGGCCTTCATAACTCATTAGAGGTCTAGATTCTGGAGAGTGGTTTAGACTAGCATTTTCCAAACTGGTTATTTTTCATGACCTGTCTTAACAGCTGGAGGGAGATTTTGATTGTTGGTTTTTTTTTTTTTTCTTCGTAGGAGTGCAATTGTACCAGGCTAATCACAGGCCTGGAACTCCCTTCCTCTACAAGGACACACGTTTGTGCCACACTAGCTAAGTTAGGGATGTAGATGGCTAAGACCGTGTCTTTCCTTACAAAGCTGAGCAGCTGTAAAGGAATTCAGCTTTTGGCCTTTGGCCTTGGCTCCATTGGCCACCACTGCTTTCTGTCACGCCAGAAGGGGACAAAAAGAAATGGATGCCACATGTGATCAGTATCCACATCATTCATCATTCCAGGCAGTCAGTCAACTTACGTTTTCAAAGGCATTTTTGTTTGTGAAGAGATTTTACAAATAGAAAAAGCATATTTCATTCTGTTCACAAGTGGTCTCAAGGCATTATTAGCAACACCATACTTGGAAAAGCACTGAACAGTAAGATAAAGTTTCCATAACACGACTGCACTTTATACTTTTAGTCATTGATTCATTGATTCATTCAACAAACATTTATGAAATACCTACCGTGAGCTAGATACTGTTCTAGTGTGAATAATGTAGCACCATTATTCATGACAGCTGTTGTTTGCTATCATTCACATGCCTAGGATGTAAGGACAAATAAGATTTAGGCTAGTTAGGCTTCCCCCTAATAAAACCAAAGGTTGGACCAGTGTTCATCCCTCCAACTGTGTTCTGAAGGAAAATAAATCTGCCTATTTCTCTCCTTTTTTTTTTTTTTTTTTTTTGAGACAGAGTCTTGCTCTGTCACCTAGACTGTGCACTGGCGTGATCTCGGCTCATTGCAACATTTGCCTCTGGGTTCAAGCTATTCTCCTGCCTCAGTCTCCCAAGCAGCTGGGACTACAGGCTCCCAAGTAGCCATAACACCCGGCTAATTTTTGTATTTTTAGTAGAGGTGGGTTTCACCATGTTGGCCAGGCTGGTCTCGAACTCCCGACCTCAAGTCATCTGCCCACCTCGGCCTCCCAAAGTGCTGGGATTACAGGCGTGGGCCACCACACCCGGCCAATCCCGTCTATTTCATCCAACAATCCAGCAGATTAGATTCATGTCTAAAGAAACCAACCAAATCCTTTTTTTTAAAGCATACTTTCCACTCTTTTTCCCCAACTGGCAACCTAGGAAGGCCTGATGTCCACATTTATCTCCTTTTCCTGAAAAGTAAGTTTTCCCTCCAGGCTTGAAAACTTAACGCTTGATTCTCCTTGACGCTGCTCTCTTCCTTGCTCTAACCATGCTAGTTAACATTCACTTAATGTCAGCTTTAGAAGGGCAGGGATTTTTGTCTCTTTTGTTCTCTGCTGGATCTCTGGCACCTACACCACTGCCTGACACATAACAGGAGGTTGAAAATATTTGGTAAATGCTGAAGGAATTCAAGTCTTGTCTATCCCCAGGGTTAGGCTCTCAAGTCAGCATGGTGGACAAAATTAGTGTAGAGTTAAATGATTCTTTAAAATTCCACAGACTACCCACACATTATAATATCTAGGCATATTATCTCTATGTCTCCACACAGTTTCTTCCCCAGTTTTGGAACAGATCACTTGGTCTTTCTTCAGTTGGGTCCAGATGAAGTAGTTGGTTAGTGTTTAGGGGGTGCATATAACTTTAAACACTTGTAGGCCCCCAGAAAATATTTGAATTTGGGACTGCAGATTCCGACTTCCCGTCTTATACTTACTGAGTGGATGAGCCCGCATTATGCCCATGATTATTTCTCTTCCATCCATCCCCCCTGTATTTTTCTTTGCCAATCTCCTAAACTTGAACTGACATAAATTAAATGTGGACCTGATGCTGTTCCCCAGGATTGACAATAGACTCTTTACAACAGCTGTGTAGACTGACAAGCGTGAACCAACCCTAGGATCTGACCCCAGTCATGAATTCTACAAAGGCAGGATGGTCCTTTCTCCTTCAGATTTTCCCTTTTAGAGCTCAAAAGGGTAACAGCTTTTCAGGCTCCCTTAAAGGGCTGAATTCCTTCATAAAATCTATCACTTCCCCTAGATCAGTGGGCAACTCATTCATCTTCCTTCAGGAAATTTCTGGAGACATCAGTTTTCCTCTTCAAAGTAAAGGCAACAATCTGAATCTTAGATGGAATTTCCTTTCATGCAGAGTAATTTTGGGCTTCTTGTTCTAAAGAAGGAAGGATGTACTGAGTATAAAACAAGGACTTAAAAAGTTATATATACACCTTTTGGCTCTCTGAGCCAGCACCATGGCGGTTGGCAAGAACAAGAGCCTTACGAAAGGCGGCACAAAGGGAGCCAAGAAGAAAGTGGTTGATCCATTTTCTAAGAAAGATTGGTATGATGTGAAAGCACCCGCTACGTTCGGTATAAGAAATATGGGAAAGACGGTAGTCACCAGGACCCAAGGAACCAAAATTGCATCTGATGGCCTCAAGGGCCAAGTGTTTGAAGTTAGTCGTGCTGATTTGCAGAATGATGAAGTTGCATTTAGGAAATTCAAGCTGATTACTGAAGATGTTCAGGGCAAAAACTGCCTGACTAACTTCCATGGCATGGATCTTACCCGTGACAATATGTGTTCCATGGTCAAAAAATGGCAGACAATGATTGAAACTCATGTTGATGTCAAGACTTCCGGTGGTTGCTTGCTTCGTCTGTTCTGTGTTGGTTTTACCAAAAAACCCATCAATCAGATACGGAAGACCTCTTATGCTCAGCACCAACAGGTCCGCCAAATCCGGAAGAAGATGGTGGAAATCATGACCTGAGAGATGCAGACAAATGACTTGAAAGAAGTGGTCAATAAACTGATTCCAGACAGCATTGGAAAAGACATAGAAAAGGCTTGCCAATCTATTTATCCTCTCCATGATGTCTTCGTTAGAAAAGTAAAAATGCTGAAGGAGCCCAAGTTTGAATTGGGAAAACTAGTGGAACTTCATGGTGTAGGCAGTAGTTCTGGAAAAGCCACTGGGGATGAGACAGGTGCTAATGTTGAACGAGTTGATGGATATGAACCACCAGTCCAAGAATCTGTTTAAAGTTCAGACTTATAATAGTGGCAAATAAAAAGTCTTATTTGTGAAAAAAAAATTATATATTCAGTGTTTCCTTGACTATATTGCAAAATGCATCTACTCACACAAGTCCGGTAAAGTACAATCTAAAAGAATAAAGTCAGCTTAGCTGGTGATAAACAGGGGAACTATTGCCTAAAGATAAGAAAATGCTCCAATTTTTCTTATAGGAATGAAGAAGAAAATTGAAGGTCTGATGGAAGCCAGTCCTTGCTTAGTGAAGTTGCATTTGGCAGACAATGGCATAGATGGAAAAGGAAAAGAAGAGAAAATGGTTTGTTGCAATTCATTCAAACTTTAACATGGTAAGTAGCGAGTTAAGAGACTTTGTTCACCTTCCAAAACAAAGTGCTTGAATTAAATTGTGGGAATAATTATTTACCTGTAGCTTTTAAGCAGTTTCCAGTGAGGTTTTTCAGCTCTGAGAGTCAAGCAGTGACCCAGCTTGGTCTTGGTACCTGATGTGGCAAGTGCTTGGTACTTGGTACCCAAGTTCAAGCAATTCCACTGCATCAGCCTCCCGAGTAGCTGGGATTACAGGCATGTGCCACCACACCCAGCTAATTTCTTTTCTTTTGTTTTTTTTTTAATGGCAGAGACTTGTTCTGTTGCCCAGGCTGGAGTGCAGAGGCATCACCTTGGCTCACTGCATCTCTACCTTCTGGGTTCAAGTGATTCTCCTGTCTCAGCCTCCTGAGTGCCTGGGATTATAGGTGCCCACCACCATGCCAAGGTTAATTCACTTATCTTTACCTAGATTTCTTCATTTGTAAAAATGGGGATAATAATAGTGTCTAACACAAGAGACTGTTGCAGGGTTAAATGAGGTCACGTATGTAGGGTGCTAAATATAGCGGCCAGGGCTCCAGCTAGCACCCTCCTACAAATTAGAAGTCCCTCTGCCCAGATGAATTAAGAACGCACCACCGCTGGCCGATGAATCAGAGGAAATTCCCCTTCCAGATCCACGCTTTGGGGCCCAGCCTTTGGCAAGCAGAAGAACTCTGCTAGATTTCAGCCCCACTCATCCTCTTGGAAGGCCCCTTTGTGCAGGGCACAAGCACTTAACCATGTGGGTGGACCTGGCTGCAGTTGGCGTGTCATGAATGCCGCATCGGACCTTAGCTCACGTGAGGCTGCACGGTGTAGTGTTGAACTCCACGGCCTCTGGAGTCGACCTAGATGCAGAATTGTTGAGTTATGAAGTTTGTCCTCCTCACTTCCTGCCCTCCTTCTGTGGACCCTCTGTTCTGCCTTGAAGCTTCCCTGTTGTCCACGCATTTTGTCTGAAGACACGGCACACAACCGGGCAGTTCAGGAAGCCAAGGCTTGTCAAATCCTGACTAGGCAGACTGTTGCCTCAACAGCAAGACCTTTGAGAGAGAGAGTCTGGCAGGACCATTCAGCCCGGGCCTTGCATTCCAGCTGCTGAATCGGTGGAAAATATATACAATGAGCAAGAAAGTAGCCTCTTACTCAGTGTGGACCCTAACTGAAATTTCATACCCGCAGCCCCTGGTAAGGGCTTGACATTGTTTTCTTGATAGTCAAATAACTTCTTTCAGAGCAGAGGCCATGTGTTAAATTTCTCTTAATCCCTGCAGTGCCAGGTACATAACGTGCTTGTAATAAGTATGCACTAAATAGACCATCATCGGCATTGCATTTGCAAAATGCTTTCACAGTAACGGCTTCATTCTGTTTTCACTACAACCTTATGAAAGGCAGAACGGCCTTTTTCAGGCCAGTTTTGCAGATGAGGGAGATGAGGGCCCGTAGCCTGCTATGATCACATGATTTGACACCTGATTTGGCAAGGGATTGAAACTGACCAGGAGTCCAGGCCTCTGCCCAGATTTCTTATCCACTCATGATGCCAGAGAGTCCCAAAGACCAGTCAGCAGTCCAGTGCAAGACCTGCACCTAAAGAAATTTCCCGGGTGGCACATGCCTATAATTCCAGCTACTTGGGAGACTGAGGCACAAGAATTGCTTGAACCCGGGAGATGGAGGTTGCAGTGAGCCAGGATTATGCCACTGCACTCCAGCCTGCATGACACAGCGAGATCCTGTCTCAAAAAAAAAAAAAACAAACTTCAATAGTCCTCAAAGAAATTACAACATAACAACAGTACAGTTTACTTTTTATAAAACTGAAGTTATTTGATTTAAAGAGCTATCTTCTATTTTCAGACTATGCCCTTCCTGATTTGATGTAAAAATGTTTGTTTGTTTACAGTGTTGATAGTTGTCATTTCTTGGCATACTAAAAATTGCCAAACTTTTGGCTGTCACTCTAAACTTCTGGACATTTGCTGGTATATGTGATATCTAAACTAGGAAGTCGTGCATCACATCATACCATATCTTTTGAGTAAATAAACAAATGAAGGATTTAAAGCAACCAAAAATCCTTACTCTATCAACTTACCTAGAAGAAGTATCCAAACTGGAGAAATTCGATCGGTAAAATTGGTTTCAGCATGTCTCTGGTCTCACACTGGGTGGGTTTGGGGTTGGGGGAGGGGTTTAAAAAGAGCTCATTCTCCAAAGTAACTGGATTGAGGTTCTTTAAATAACAATGCTTGACATGATGTGTGTGTGTGTGTGTGTGTGTGTGTGTGTGTGTGTGTGTGTGTGTGTGATTTTCTTTCAACAGCCTGATCAAATACTCTGCCCACTTGAGGGAAATTGACCTTGGAAACAACGTCCTAAGAGAAATGGCTGCTGCTGACATACTTGAAATGCTGAGAGCCAGAAAGACAGGTAGAGTGCTTTCAGGTTATGTGTTTCCCCTCCGCCTGCCCGCAACTACTCACTCCTAAACGCTGTACTACTCACGACTTGCCCCCCTTTTTTCATTTAAGTAACTGGCCCCAACTATGTAATGACTAGGAACCCTGTGACAGGCCAGCCATCATTCTGTCAATTTTCCCAATGATTTGCACAGAGTTCAAGAATTTTTAGGATGTCATATTAGCCTTCCATCTAAGTAATGCATGTTTTTAAAGTGAAATTTTCTCTATTGCATTTTTTCTCTCTTGCTCCTCTCATCCTTGCCTGTTCTCCAAGAAATGCTTCTCCCACTCTCCACTCTCCCGTCAGCCCAACCTGCAGAGAGGTCTCCAGATATCAATTGCAAAACTCAAGTCACAGCCCCCGTAAGATTATGATATGCTTTCTGGATCATCGAAGGATGATTAATTGTGATTGGCATAGGGAGAGCAGTAAGTCTTTTAAGATCCTGCAATCCTTTGAAAAGGAGAGCATCACAAGTGGAAGGAGTTGGTTCCTGTGGCCACTCCTGCCCTCTCCATCGCCAGCATGCGTGACCAGAATTAATGACGGCTGCTCATCCTGCTGATGCAGAGGAGGCAAAGAAATGTCATTTTAAATGAAGCTCCATGGAAGATTTCATAAACAGATTTGAAAATGCAAATTCAACTTTAAGAAAAGTAGAAAGAACTCGGGCCGGGCGTGGTGGCTCACGCCTGTAATCCCAGCACTTTGGGAGGCTGAGGCAGGCAGATCACAAGGTCAGGAGTTTTAGACCAGTCTGGCCAATATGGTGAAACCCCGTCTCTACTTAAAAAATACAAAAAAACTTATCCAGGCGTGGTGGCACATGCCCGTAATCCCAGCTATTTGAGAGGCTGAGGCAGAAAAATTGCTTGAACCTGGGAGGCGGACATTGCAGTGAGCTGAGGTCCCACTACTACACTCCAGCCTGGGCAACAGAGCGAGACCCAGTCTCAAAAAAAAAAAGAAAGAAAAGGAAAAAGAACTCTTGGTGTGTTACTGGGCAGGTCAAGTGGAAAGAATTAAGTAGTTCAGCCTCGGTCTTTACCATTCCCTCAGAATGGTCTTAGAGACATGGCAAAATCATAGATTGCATTTTTCTTTTAATGCTCTAGAGCTTTAGAGAGAAGAATTATAATGACATTACTGTCCATTGTATTGACATGTTTAAAACTAAAACGACTACATTTTTAAACAGCCAATCAGGTGGTTCCATGATGTTTAAATTATCCCTTTATTTTAGAGAAACAGAACATGGAATACTTTGTATTCCATTAAAGTTGAATTCAAATTCAGCAGAGTTACTCTGTTAAATTTAGTTCAAATAAGCTTTAAGCTTGATAAACTGAAGGCAGGTTAATGCTTTCATTTTGTTTTTCCTGACACCACAGTAACTTTTTCATTATACACTGAGGGAGAAGATGTTACCAGACGGCAGGCAGTCTCGCGACCATGACTATAGTGAGTGCTAATGACAGTCAGTCTCAGATGACTGGAGGGATGATTATTATCTCTCAGTATGTATTGGAGCTGGAAAACATCATGCTTTGCTCAGTAAATGTTTTAATTTGCATAAATGAGAAGATAATTATGAAATACCCACCTGAAAGTACAAATACTCATTTAGAAGGCATTAAAAAGTAATTTTCAAGTATAGTAATATATATTATGAGTAGCCTTAATGCATCCTCTCTTGAGCTGAAATAATTATGGGTGTTTCTGATGGAACACTTCAATTGGATTGTTAGTTTGAACACCAAGCAGATTCCTCGAAACAGGATTAACTGGTTGGGTTCTATAGGGAAAATGTCTTCCCATTTAGCCCTAATGGCATCATTTTAAACATTAAAAGCAATTAGTGATATTAGTGATTATAGAACTAATGTTCTTCAATTTATTGTTTCTTAACATTTGCAAGTTAACACGCTAATTTCTAAATCTAATTCTAATTCGTTCATAAAATCCAAATTAACAGCCTGAGGTTACTTATTTGCCTAGCAAAGAGATCTTAATGACCTGCCTTTAATGATGGAATAGGCCCAATGAAATCTTCCTCAGAAACATTAGCAACCTCATTTCATTAAAAAAAAAAAAGAAAAGAAAAAAAAAGGACAATAAAAGCCATTATCCTGTCTTACTGCTTTTTCACTAACAAGAAAACAGAGTACTTAAGGAACATTTCATTTATTCATTCTTATTTTTTTCAATATATATTTGTTAAATGCCTATCATGTACCAGGCCCTGTTCTAAACTCTGGTGAGGGGGGTCATGAATTCCTGCCTTCATGAGGCATGTATATGATTGTATATCCAATAGGGATCATCCTTAGAGGAAAACTAAAGCAAATGGGCAGGGGTGAGGGTAAAGTGTGTGTCAGAGCGTGGGGGTTGCCATCTTAGGGTAGCTAGGGAAGGCATTGCTGAGAAGGGACACTTGAGTAAGGATCTGAAGGAGGAGGGGGAGAAGGTCGTGTGAATATCTGACATGAGCATTCTGGCTAGAAGGAAGAGCAAGTGCTAAGTCCTTGAGGTAGGAGCCTCTGGATGTGTCCAGTAAAGCAGCCAGCATTGCCAAATGGAGTGAGCTACAATGAGAGAGTCAGAGGACAAACAATCTGAGGTGCGAGTATGCCGGGCAGAAGGCCTTCTAGACCCTTGTGATGACTTTCGGGTATAACTCTGTTGAGATGGAAAAGCTTTTGAGAATGATAAGCCTAGGTGTGACCTGATGTAACCCACGTTTTAACAGGATTGCTCCAGCTTTTTGCTAAAAATAGACTATAGGGGAGGCAAGGGCAGAACGAGGATTCTAGTTAGGGAGTTTTCTCTGGAAAAACTAGACAGGGCCTTTCAGCAGACCCTGAACACCCAGAAAGGTGGAAAATGGGGCAAGGGGAGAAGCTGCAAAGAGGAGAAGTAAGGAAAATTGTAGACATTGAGCAGTTGAAACTCAGTCCTTACCACCACCCCAGCCTTGCCTGCCCTGCTTCTAGAAGGCTGACAGTTATGTAGAGGATTGGGGTCTTCCTTGAGAAATTGAATAGCCCTAGAAAAAGAAACTCTAGATGCTGACAGTTGGCCATCGCTCACCGTTCAAAGAAGCCTCCCAGGTCAGCAAGCCCTGAGCATGCACGAGCGCCGCCCATCAGCCTTTGTCTCTCTTATGCTTCATTGTGAACAGATACCTGAGAACCTCCAGACACTTGAGGCAAGTCTGCAACATGAGAGACCAACCCTGAAACAGAGGGAATAAAGGAACCCTGAAGATACAGAAACAATGCAGAAAACTGAAGAAAAACAAAAAAGCTTTAACATTCTCAATGGAAAAGAAGATAAAGCATCCATAAAAAAGGAACGGGGTACTACGAAAAAAAATTAGAAAATAAGAAAAAGTTCTTGGAAAGTGAAAATGATAGCCAAAATAAATTTTTCTGAAAAAAAAAAAAAAAAAAAAAGTTGATAGTTAAATCAGGAAAGACAGCCCTCTGCCCCTCTGATTCGACAGACAGCTGCATCTTCTCATGCAGCTCCGGCTGCATCCCTCAGACACCAGGGTGAAGGCGAAGACCAGAATAAACAGATGGGGCCATAGTGGGGCCCTGGTTACCAGGGCTCCTTTTAACTCTGGCAAAGTGGATACTGTCACCATCCATGACCGCTTCATTGACCACAACGACATGGCCTACATGTTCCACTATGAGCATGTTCCAGTATGAACCAGGTCAAGTTCCACATGGCCTCCAAGGAGTAAGACTCCTGCATCACCAGTCAGAGCCCTCAGCTGCTGGGGAGACCCTGCTGCACTCCATCCCCCATCACACTGAGAATCCCCCCTCCTCAGATTCCACATAGACCCCTGGAGAGGGAAGGGCTGGGGAGCCCTGCTTTGTGGTGTACCATCAACAAAGTCCCCTGTACTCAGCCCAAAAAAGAAAGAAAGAAAGTCTTTGGAAGTAAAACAAAAGATAAGGAGATGAAAAAATGGTGAGAAAATATAAGAGACAGAGGATGAACCCACGAACATCAGTGTCTAACTAAGAGTTTTCAGAAAGAGAAAACAGAGAAAAGTTAAGACAGGGAATTATCAAAGAAATAAATCAAGAACTTTCTTAGAACCAAGAAACATAAATCTGCACATTGAAAGAGCTCATTGGGTGTCCAGCACAGAGAATTATAAAAGGTATATCATTATGGCATTCAGAATACTAGGAATAAAAACGGGATCCTAACAACTTACCAAAAGAAAAAATTTTGCATCCAAAAGACTGTGAATTAGAATGACATCAGATTTCCTAACTAGAAGCTTGGGGCAATGAAGTGCTACTATGACAATTCCATGAGAAGTCTATACAGTCCCAACTTCTAACCACGTATGAGGCCAAAATAAAGATGTTTTCAACATGCAAGCGATCCAAACATGTACCTCCTCTGAGTCCATTCTTATGAAACTTCCAAAGAACATGCTTGAGCAAAATGAGAAAATAAATCACAGACAGGCCGAGCACAGTGGCTCATGCTTGTAATCCCAGCACTTTGAGAGGCTGAGGCGGGTGGATCACCTGAGTTCAAGAGTTCGAGACCAGCTTGGCCAACTTGGTGAAATCCCGTCTCTACTAAAAATACAAAGTTAGCCAGGTACACACCTGTAAGCCCAGCTACTCAGGAAGCTGAGGCACAAGAATTACTTCAACCCAGGAGGCAGAGGTTGCAGTGAGCCAAGATCATACCACTGCACTCCAGACTGGGCGACTCTGTCTCAAAATAAATAAATAAATAAAAATAAAATAAACCACAAAGACAAAGAACACCGAGTTCAGAAATCAGAAGGCCCAATACAGGACAGTAAAAATGGGAGTCCCGGATGATGGCTGAGGTAAGTCCAAATTGGAGCAGAAAAGTAGAAGACTTTGGAAAGGAGAAAGACTTGGGAAAAAACTGAACTAATAGAGCATGTGAAGTACTTAAGTATTTTGAAAGAAATACCGATAAGTATATAAGAAATGACAGAAACCTGTGGGGAAATATTTAGAATAGGTACACAGAAAACTCTGCAAATGAAAAACCAGACAATTATTAACTTAGGCAAAAGACAGATACATAACAAAATACGTACAAAAATATAATTATACCAATGAATACACCAGTGTTGATGTAACTAAAAATTGTGATATATCTTTATTGAGAGGATTGGTGAGACGAGTTTCAAAAGTCAGTATGTACATTTTAAATGGAAACATCAAGAAATAATATCATAAGCACTTTGCTTGAAATCAGGCAGTAAATATCATGAAAAACTGCTGAATGAGTTGAAAGTGGTTGCCTCTGCAGAAAAGGACTCATGGCCAGGCGCAGTGACCCACACCTGTCATCCAAGCACTTTGGGAGGCCAACATGGAGGATCACTTGAGCCCAGGAGCTTGAGACCATCCTGGGCAACCTAGGGAGACCTCATTTCTAAAGAAGAAAGAAAAAAGAAGAAAGAAAAGTGGTAAGTTGCCCCGGCTGGAGTCCAGTGGCATGATTTTAGCTCAGTGTATCCTTGAACTTCTGGGCTCAAGTGATCCCCCTAACTCAGCCTCCCAAGTAGCTAGGACTATAGGCGTGTGCCACCATGCCTGGCTATTTTTAAATTTTTTGTAGAGATTAGATCTTGCTGTGTTTCCCAGGCTGGTCTTGAACTCCTAAAACCCAAAGT